ATGTAACTTATTACCCACGGTGGACCACTATAAATGCTGCGAGAGATAATAATAGGTTTTTAATAGATAACTTTGGTATTGATCACACTCGCATTGTTATACCTAATGGGTATTACAGCGTATTCTCACTCAATGATGAAATTTTTAAGCCTAATGGAATTAGTCTCATACAAAATGAGTCGAATGGGATGCTGAAATTAAGCGCTGGAGAAGAGAACTTACTTCTTGTCAAGATCTTAGCAGAAACACTTGGATTGGGCAAATACCACCCAACGATATAGTGCATGGAGTTAAATTACAAGATTTAGTTCCCAAAAAGAGTTGTGCATCCATCTTGATCAGATCAGTACAACGGATAATATTTAACTCGAAAGTCCTTCTACACTGCTGAGAGCTATTCCAGTCAAAGATGAAAAATATAATAGCGGTATAACAGAATCTTTCTCATCATTACAATATATAAAATTAAAGCGTGGTATTATTTCAGACCTCAAAATTTCTGTATTAGATGTAAAACATCAACCTGTACATAAAGGATACTTGAGTGTAACACTCCATATTATAAATAATGGTTGATTCATCAGGCCCTGGAACAATGTAATACAATTGTGCTTTCTGATCTCGGAGACACAGAAGGATTCGGTAGACCCGGTACCGATGGCAAGTTATACGCTTTACACTTACAAGATAATGTATACGAGCGGATAGAAGTTACATTCACAGGTAATCTAGGAGATTTAAGCGATGTCGACGTTAGTAGACTCAATCGTACAATCTTACTCGCAACGATGATAATAAATGGACTATGATCGAAGCAAAAATCGACTTGCTATTGAATATCGTCATTACCCCACCATATGTGATGACGGGTAAGGCACATAATTTAACCAAGATAATAAATAGTGGGATCATACTCAGGGCTTATATCCCATCAAAACGAAAAAGTGTGTTAGTCTCTCCCCTGCCAGAAAACCCAGTTCATATGTTATTTAGTTGTCCGGCATAAAAAAATGTTAGTTTAAATTTGGTTACTGAATTCAATGATATTAAAGATAACTTGAGTGCAATACTTGATCTTTCTACACTTATTATTGAAGTCTTGTTTGGAAATGCACCGGAAGATGCCTTAGAAATATTACCAGGTCTATCATTTAAATGGCTCAAGAACCACCAACGTCAATGTTGCAGTATTATTTATATGGGAGTATCACCCATTGCAACCCTTGAGGGGGTCCAAATTATTAAAGGTGACAGCATTTCTCTTACTAAGATATTCATGCCATATAATATACATTTAATAAGGTTGATGTATACTCTCAAAACATTTAAGCAAGACCAATTAAAGACTATTATATGATATAATAATATACACTATGAGTTTATATCCAGCACTCGATGAAGCATCTGAAATGATGGATACCGTTAATGGATTTCAAATACATCAAATAAGCGACATAAAACATCGAATAGAGAAGGAGCGGGAGTTGAGACTTGGATTGTATAAAAAGTATCGCAGAGCTGTGAATGCTCTGGACGGAGTTGACATCGCGCTTTTAACAGCTAGCATGGGACTCGGTGTAGCCGGTGTTGGTTTATTATCAACTATAATCGCCACGCCTATCGTACTTGGCATGGAAATAGCGGCCAGAGTCTCTGGACTGGCAGGAATAGCGATAAAATTTATTTCTCGTAAGTTGCAAAAGAAAGCATTAAAATATGATAATATTTGGATACTCGTTGAAGCAAAGTTGAACAGCATTGAGGATTTCAACAGCAATGGCTGATTGTAAGATATCCGAGGAGGAGTTTCGTTTAGTTTTGTCAGAACTCACAAATTACAACCCAATGAAGCAGGAGATTCGATCTAATTCTCCACCCAGTGGTATTAGCGAAGACAAGAAAAAAAAGTTCATAGAACAGGGGAGGCAACAAGCGCGTCAATTATTCTGTGCCAAAACCAAAGAACTTGTTGGAGATTAAAAATAGATTGCTTCCTACCATTAGATTGCATCGCATAAAAAATCATACATTCATTTAAACGAATGCTTACATAAATTTATAATAATGGAGAATTACAAACCAACAAAGGAAGAACTCGAAAAAGCTATCGAAGCATTTATGCTCAGGGACAAAATTATCAAATGGAGAGAATTACCACAAGGTATATATTATATCAGTGATATCAACCCAACCAAATATGGTCATCAATTGTTTCTTTCCAATTGTTTCTTTCCAATTACCAGGAAGAGTATATAGAATATTTTCATTACAATTTAGTTTCATCTCATGACGATTGTTGAATCACATCATCATTTTGACATAAAACATTCCCCCTGTAGTGGTGGTATAGGTATATGAATCTGGCTCTACCAGCGGAAGTGAGCCAGAACCATCATTACCTATACTACTAATGCCCTAAACACTTACTCATAAGCAAACGCTTAAATAAAATACCTATTCAGCAATCCGAATCCAAATCTATTCAACCCACTGAGGTCGAAAAAAAACGAAGCTTCTACTGATCACTCTGCTGAGCAAACAATTGAATCTGTGAGCACTGAGCAAACAATCGAATCAGTGAGCACTGATCCGTCTGCTCATAGGCACAAAGGCACTGCAAAACGCAAGGGGAAAAAGACCCAAGCTCCCATATCAAACCCCATGCCTTCTGATTCTCAAACTTCTAATAACTCTGAACAACAGCAATCACACATGTCATGACCAAGTCCACAAACGTGGAGTTCAATTGATCTAACAATTGCCACCAACAACCTCGCCACACATTGCCAATGGCAAGTCCATGATGACAATTGGGGAAGCGATCACGTTCCTATACTCACCTACATAGGTACCCCACCACAATTAGAGGAACAGACCAATCCTCAGCCCACATGGGACTATGCAAAGGCTGACTGGCCGAAATTCAGGAAGGAATGCATATCATTCAATCTTTTCCTGATCTTTTTTGCCAAAATCTCACCTCAGTAATTATTGCCGCAGCTGAAAAATCAATTTTAAAAAAAAGACCACAAAACTGGTAACAGGGAAATAGCAAAAGCTAGGAGAGTGAGAAAGAAAACCCTAAATAGGTCAAAAAGGGATAAATCAGCCTTTGACCAAGTCCGAGCAGCCAGGACAAAAGTAAGACAGCTCATAGACGATTCTAACAAAGAGTCATGGCAGACCTTCTGCAAATCTCTAAATGAGAAAACAAATGCTAAAACAGTCTGGAGAAAAATACACGCAATCAGGGGTAAGCGTAAACCAACAAAAATTCCCAAGTTAGCCAACGCCCATTCAGTCAAAGAAAAGGCCAACATTCTAGCCGAGCACTTCTCATCTGTCAGCAGCAACACAAATTGCAGCAATGAATTCAAACAGGAAAAAATGCATATGCTTAAGATATCAAAACAGTCACAAAGCAAGCATCTGGTATACAATATACCATTTACTGTGATAGAGTTTGATGATGCGATACAACTTCGAAAAGGCACGGCAGCTGGTCTTGACTCAATCAGTTACGAGATATTGAAAAACCTGATCAAACCAAAAGCTTACTCACTGAGTTGAAAAACATGATATGGTCCAAAGGAGAAGTCCCAAAAGCATGGAAACATGCTGCAGTTATCCCGCTTCTAAAACAAGGGAAAGACGAAGCCCTACCAAACTCTTATCGACCGATCTCACTCACTTCAAACATGTGAAAAGTTGTGGAAGCCATGGTTACGAAAAGGCTCATGCATCACCTTGAAACTGGCAACCACATCAAACCTGACCAAAGCAGCTTCAGGAAGGGACACTTGTGTCTAGATCATATTCTAAGACTGGAAATATGAAATAAAAAAAGCTCAATTAAACAGACAATACCTAGCCGCAGTATTTCTGGACTTCAGCAAAGCCTTTGACATGGTATGGCGTGACGGACTTCTCACCAAACTAGCACAAAATGGAGCAGAAGGAAACATGGCAAACTTCATAGACAGCTTCCTGCAAGGCAGGTCGCTATCAGTTGAAATAGGGAACATTCGATCTGATCCTTTGGCACTGGACAATGGCACGCCACAAGGCAGCATTATAAGCCCAACCCTGTTTACCATCATGATCAGTGATCTCTCTGATCATGTCAACTCTACTCCCCAAACTTCTAAATTCACTGATAATGAAACAATATGGGTAAAGCACAGAGATATTTCACAAATCAGAAAAAAAATCCAATCAGCCCTGGACGGAGTAGATCAATAGTGCTGTCATTGGGGGTGGGGGATTCACCCTTTCAAGTTAAAAAAACTGTTGAAGTTCTATTCAAACGTCAGGGGAAAGATGCTATGATACCCCGTGTCTCCATAAAAGACAAACCAATCAAATTAAAAAAATCCACAATATTTCATTGATGGATCCAAGAATCATATCAACAACAGTGCTGGTTACGGGATCCATATCCACAGCTCCAGCTTGAATTGGAGTCAATTCATCGTGCACTCCAGAACTTCCAGAAGCAAAGGCAGTCGTCCTATCATACTCGTTAAGTGCACTTCAAGCCATCAGTGGCAGAAACTCAAACTCCAGGCCAAACACAATCAACAATATTCTATACGAATATACAAAACTAACGGACCAATGGCAACAGGTGGAGCTGTGTTGGATCCCCTCTCACATAGATATTCATGGAAATGAAAAGAGACACACTGGCGAAGCTAGCTCTAGACAAAGCGGATATACAGCCTATTCCCTATAGTAAACTAGAGATAAAAAGCAAAATCAAAGCCTCTGTAGCCCAAAGATGGCAAGCCCAATGTAACAAACGCAAGTAAGATCGACAGATGGCTATACAAAATTCAACCCAAGATCCAACAAAAACCAAACTCATACTCAAATGAAAGGAAAATTGAAATGGCCATCTCACGCCTCAGACTCGGTCACAAAAAGCACTATGACAAGGTTTGTTCATCTTGCAATCAGGCTGAAACCATTGCTCAATATGAAATATCATTTGTACTCACTGTCTAGGTTCAGTATATCCAGCAAGGTTGACAGCTTTGATATCAGTGTAACACCTTGACAAGAACTCCTTGTATTTCACTTGATCTGCTTGACCATTTCTGAAAAGAGAAAAAAAGAGAGTTTGTTTATGTGTTTTTAACACAGGTGCCAACGTGGGGAGAAAAACTGAAAGCCAAGCAAGTATGCTGTGTTATGTTCTGACCATTTTGACGCGGATGCCTATAAAAGAGACCCATTTCGCCTTGCACATATGGGGTATGAACATCCAAAAGCTAGGTTGAAGAAGGACGCAGTCCCTACGAAATTCAGGACCAAAAGTTTTGTCGATATAATGTATATAGTGTAGCTGGTGTCGGTTTACTATCAACTATAATCGCCGCACCTATCGTGCTTGGCATTGGAAATAGCCGCTGGAGTCTCGAGACTGGCAGGAATAGCGATAAAATTTATTTCTCGTAGGTTACAAAAGTAAGCATTAAAACACGATAGTATTCGGATACTCGCCGAAGCAAAGTTGAACAGCATTGAGGATCATATTTCGACAGCAGTGGTCGATTGTAAGATATCCGAGGATGAGTTTCGTTTAATGCTGTCAGAACTCACCAAATACAATGCAATGAAGCAGGAGATTTGATCAAAATCTCATAAGACCAGTGGTATTAGCGAAGACGAGAAAAAAAAGTTCATAGGACAGGGGAGGCAACAAGCGCGTCAGTTATTCCGTGCCAAAACCAAAGAACTGGTTGGAGATTAAAAATAGATTGCTTACTATCGTTAGATCACATTTAGACAAATGCTTACATAAATATATAATAATGGAGAATTACAACACAACAATCGAAAAAGCTATTAAATGGAGAGAATTACCACAAGGTTTTTATTATATCAGTGATGTCAAACCAACCAAATACGGTTATCAATTGTTTCTTATCAATTTACAAGAAGAGTGTAATTATATAGTCTGGTCTCCTAGTAAAATGAACGAAGAACTTAATAAAAATGTTGAATATCGCTTTATTGATAAAAATAATAAAGAATATTTTTATTACCATTTAGGCTCATCTAAAGCAATGATTGGCCCCAGGTATTGGTGAGCTAGACCCAATTTAACTTAATCTCATGACTATCATTGAATCGCATCATCATTTTGGCATAAAAAATTCCACCTGTAGTAGCAGTATAGGTATATGAATCTGGCTCCAGTGGAAGTGGTCCAGAACCATCATTACCTATACTACTTCGTTAGCCGATTTTGGATATCTTTCTTAGTTGCGGCCATATTGGATTCAAAGTTTTCACAGTGTCTTTTAGGTACCTGTCTTCAAAACCTATCTCCTCTGAATCCACTGCATGAAATGACTTCAAACTTTCTGAGAATTGTCTCCTTACATAACACATCAAACTATGTTAGCCGTTTTTAGATATCTTTGTTAGTGACGGTCCCATTTGATTTTGATTTTGATGATTTTTTTCACCGAAATTTTACTTTATATAAAGATCATATCTTGTAAGGTTCTCCACAGAAACTATCGAAAGTTTACATGAAGTTAGTCGGACATATGTACCTCATTTTTTGTTCTTGGTTGCATGCCAAAAGTAACACCGCTTGGTGGTAATATTGACAAAACACTGAATAAATCGCTGAGAAAACCTAGGGTTATCTCCCTTTGACCATCAAGTGTCTTTTGCAGTATGTATACTACCTTTGAAGATGAGGGTTAGAATTGGTCTTCAGCAACCCAGGCTTGTCTTAAGAGGCGATTATCGGGGTTCGAACATTGTCTAGGTGGTAAATGGGTTTAGAACACTCTGGTTAACTCTGGCACACGCCAGTTTCGTAGTGGTGATGTCCTGCAAACGGTGACTACCTCTTGACGGAGTTGGTACAAGCAAACCCTTTGAGGATTCGAACACGCACGGCGTCTGAAATGGGTGAAGAACATTCCGGGACTTTCTGGGATACGTCAGTGTCGTAGCAGCGATGTCTGGCAAGCATTTCCTTACTTTTGACGGCGTCGGTACAACCAAACCATCTGGGGATTCAAACATGGACGAAGTCGGAAACATGTTCAGCACTTTATCTGAGCATTGCGACAGAGACCCGGGGTGCTGGCGAACTCAGAACGCTAATCCGATTGACTGACGCTCAAATGACAAAGAAGTGACAGCCTGTTGAAGAGTCACCAAGCCGAATGGTTGAAGAGCCCTAGTGTTTTCGTTCGATTTAATATTATTATTATTCTGCCGATTTTTGTACCAGAGCTAGCAGCATAACCACTGGCTCGATTATGTTCAAATTTTGTATGTGTATGAAGACCGTTGAATACTAGATTCCGCCAAAATCCCAAGGCCGTAGCCCCAAAGCCCAAGGGCAGATAACTAAAAAACAAGTATTTTTTAATGATGTATTTTGCACTATTGCTCCGCAACCGCTTGTCCGATTAATTTCAAACCTTGCATGCATGCTGCTTCAGTTCCCTGACATTTTTTGTTCATTGACTTTGGTCATTGGTCACGTGGTTTGGCAGCCATATTGAATTCAAAGTTTTCACAGGTTTTGGGGTACCTGTCTTCCAATGCTATCTCCTCTGAATCCACTGCATGAAATGCATCCACACTTTCTGAGAATTGTCTCCATACATAACACATCAAACTATGTTAGCCGTTTTTAGATATCTTTGTTAGTGACGGTCCCATTTGATTTTGATTTTGATGATTTTTTTCACCGAAATTTTACTTTATATAAAGATCATATCTTGTAAGGTACTCCACAGAAACTATTGAAAGTTGACATGAAGTTAGTTGGACATATGTACCTCATCTTTTGTTCTTGCTTGCATGCTAAAAGTAACACCGCTTGGTGGTATTATTTGATTAATATTTGGGACACTCCTGGAACACGCAAAATTCGTAGCGGCGATGTCAAGTGATTATTTTTTTACGGAGTTGGTACAAGCAAACCTTTTGGGGATTCGAACATGTTCAAGGTCGGAAATGGGTATAGAACAGACTTGGACACTTGGCAAACGACAATTTCATAGCGGCGATACCCTACTAGTGGTGCCTACTTTTGACGAATTTGGTACAAGGAAACCTTTTGAGGACTCGAACATGGACGTTTGTGCACAGTGTCACTTGGAGCCCGACATTGCTGCTTGCAGCTTTAATTATTATTATTATTATTGGCACTCGTGAAGAGCAACCTCCCCGTGGTGAGTGCTGGGTAATCGCTCTTCCCCCGTAGAGCTGGGGTAGATTGTGTCCTCAGCAGCCCATTGCTTGTTGTAGGAGGCGACAGAATTGGGCTACTTGTTTGTTATGGGTTGTGCCACTGTGTCGGTGAAGGACGGGATTCTGGTGGTTGAGGGCAATGGAACCAGGAACAGTGTTCTTCTGCCTAACACACCACTTCGACCCTGACTTCACCTAGACGGAAGGTAGAATGGGCCCGATTCTATCAATCGACTGGTCATGTCAAGCCCTTTGCTAGAATCTTCCGTGTTTAATTTTCTACATACCGTATTTTCTTGAGTATAGTGTGCACTTTTTTTCCAAAAATTATAAACGAATTAATGAGTTTTGATGTTTTTTCCCCCATGGAAAGACATTACCGTGAGCGCGTATTATCGTAAATACCATGTCAACAAATCAATACTGAAGTACGCAAATAAGTCATGTAATTACACTGTCTGGCCATAAAATGTGTTCTTTGTATATCTGGACTGATGTTTGTAACTTATTTTATTAATTTTATTCAAAATTCATTTTAATATTGTTTTAATTAATTTCGTATGTGAAGCGATCGTAAGATCGCACAACTCATCGTTATTAACAGCAACCACGGTCAGATTACCGCTATTGACACCTTGAAACGAACTTTAGTTGACAGAGAAGGGATACATATATCATAAATGCCATACTGTCACTCGTTAAAAGTTATATTTGTTTTTGTTGAACGATCTCTGTCAACACGTGATTCTCGCGATCACGTGTACAGGAGCCTTGACGGTGACTGGTCAGACTGGTTCCATGTAAAAAATAATACCCGGCAATAGCGATCAGCTGCTTCGCTAAGCGTCATTATTATTTTAAATATGTTCAGTAAAAGCTGCATCTAAATTAACAAGATATTAGAATATATTATTCCTGATAAAAAAATAGTTTCAGATACAATTTTTGCCGATCCTTGCATTAAAATACTGTAAGTTATATCATTGGGTGTGTCTTGACCAAACCACCGGTAGATTCCAAGAAAACGTGTGTACAGCTGATTGCTGTGTCCGGCTTAGTTTAAGAGAAAATACACAAGGTAATCTTAATCACTGGATATAAAACAATGCCCAGCAGAAAAAAAAATACAATTTAAACGGTAAATCAACATGTCTGGTGATTTTTTATCACAAATTTCGAATTTGTACTGACAAAGTTTCTCATCACCTGTTCGTGTGCCGGACTTCGCTAAAGGGGTACGGTGTAAAAATATTTCTGCGCTTGGTATTCGAATTTTTATTTTCCAAAATATTGAATCCGCTAGAGGGGGGTGCGCATAATATATGGGTGCGCAATATACTCAAGAAAATACGGTATTGTGTTTGGGCTTTGAATGTTAGACTTTGTATGAACACGTTTGCCTAGACTCCTATGCCAGAAGACGGTGGCTCATGGGCCAATCTGGTAATGTCGACCTCTAAGTTCTATATGTCTCCAGTTTCTTGTTACAAGCCGAAACCAGCTTAGCATTTCATTTTGTAGACAAATATAGCTATTCACGGCGTATTTACTGGAGTATATCACCCCTGTATCCCTTTGTGTTTGCATGCTGGAGATCCGCTGCTGTGAAACACTGTCCTTGTTAACACTCCATGGTGGGTGGGGAGGAGGGGTGCCAAAACCTACTACCTACATGTCGCTTTCCACATCTGGTTCCATTAGAAATGACAAAAAAGGCGTTTAGAGGCTGATCATCTTTCATTTCATGATAATGTTTCAGTTTCCAAGCAGCAAGAAACTTGGGTAAGGTTTATAGTTATTGAATCTACAAATGGAGAACCAGTCAAAATCATCTTGTCTGATCATTATAATCAGGATCAGGGGGTTC